TTGTGAGAAGCATGGGAGAATTTATGAAATAAATTATAGTATATAGTTGTTAAGTCAGGACTTGTCAAATATCAATGAGTTTAGAAAGCTCTATCTGCAACTTCAAATGCTACATATATTTAAAAAATTGATTTTTTTTTTTTTTTTACTAATACAAAGTGTATTTTTTCTTTCCTTCCCAAATAGGCCCAAAATAAATTTAATGCACTGCAAGCAAAACAAGCAGAATTAGAGTACTGCAGACTTACTGAAGCTCTTGTGGCTGAAAAGGAGAAGGAATTTCAGGATTATGCCAGAGAAGTAATTGAATCTGAGTCTGAATCAACAAACAAGTATATTTATCCTCTTGTAAAAGCTGTACAGGAAGGACCTGGAGGTGGTCCTGGGCCAGTTTTTGTGGACAGAGGTGTATTAAGACCCAGGTATCAGGCAAATGATATTACTGGAGTCCAGCTCCCTTTTTATACCTCTCAGGGATCAAAATATAATAATTTTCAAAAGTCTAAGGGAAGGCTAGGTTTTACATGGTAGAAAAAAGTTTATTTTTAAGAAGACTAAGTCATAGCTAATATTATGAGCTACAAATTCAAGTGAATTATATGCTTATAATTTGTTAATAAAGCTGCTTTTCATCTAAGTACAATTATGTCTGATCTGATTCTTCCCCATTCAAGATTAAGTCAGATTCCATTTTTTATTTTGATAAAACACATACACAACCAAATGTATAATTTTAGCCATTTAAGAATATTCAGTGGCATTAAGTATATTCATAATATTGTACAACCTGCACCTATTAGTACACAACTGCTCTGATCTGCTAATTTGATAAAAAGAAACCATAGCTAAAATTTGTGGCAAAGATGTAAATTGGAACTAGGACATTTTGGGTATTGAGAGGACTTGGTGGGGTGGGGGAGGTGTGAAAATTATGAATCCACACTTAAAAAAGAAACACAGTACTAGGTTAGGAAGTATGTTTAGGAAAGAAACCTAGAAAGCAATGAAAATAGAAAAAGCACATTGAAACTAAAAGTATTTTAATAACAAATTTGCACAGTCCATATGAAGCACTCACATTTTACATATTCTCCTGGCTTAATAAAACATTTAAAAACACTCCAGAATTTGAGAGTTTAATAATATTCACCTGCTAACACATATAAACCACTGAATGGTCAGAACGTTTTTACTTAAGCATATATATTTTCAGTGACTAACTCTCAAGTTAACTAGGTTAATTTTCCCTAAAACCAAAAATAAACAAGAAACCAAAAACTAGACAATCTGTTTTACAAACTCAATTAACACTTATATGGCTTTACAATGGTAAGTGTTATATTAAAGCTGGCAGGCACAGAATATAATACAGTGTTCCTGCTGCTGAGAAATTTGGAGGAATTAAAAAGCAAATAGTAGCATTCCAGTTGACAGAAATGCAAATTCCATGTATAACCTTAAAAGTCTGCTGAGGCAAAAGACACCTTGCAATGTGAAGCACTATGATTAAACAGTTACACTAGAACTTATTCCTAAACCTGGAAATTGTCACTGCTGGCTAAATTCTTAAAAGAAGTTCAACATTGTTAAACTCTTTGCTCAGTTTTTTCCTAATACAATTTCTGTGGGTAAAATAAAAGTATTATTTTAATTGATTTATCTTCATTATTTAGCTTTTAATAAAAATAAAGGCCGAATAAGCTAACACAATGATTTAAAAAATACAAAAACAAACTGTTTATGATAGTATAGTTTATTTTATACAATGTTTAACTATAAAAGTTGATAGTTTCAGAGTTTAAATTCTGTAAAATGCAGTTTGCAGAAAACAGTTTAACAGTTACTAGACTAATGATAAGAGAAGCAGCATTTTGAAACTAATTATACAATTGCAACAACAGCTTTATTCCTAAATTTCATTAAAAAAATATACATCACAGTGACTTCTGAGCTAGGAAAAGAAGTGCATTAACTTCATTTGTTTTTCCCTTCTGTAAAGAGAGCAGCCATAACTTTTAATATACCCACATACAAATACCCAATTCATTTATCCTTCAAAATACTATAAACACACAAAGGGGGAACAAAATATACAGCATGTGCTTTTGGTAAACATAGGAATTTGCTTGAAAAAGGGGGGCAGGGCAGACACATAAATCAATCCCACCACTCCCCCCAGTACATAAAAACAAACAAAACCCCTCAACAACTCCCTTCTCCAACCTTGCTGATGGAATTTTTCAAATTCCATAAAGGTTCGAAGTGTGATGAAAAATACTGCCACCCAGAGTAAAGCAAAATCAACTACTAAAACCATACTAATTTGTTCCACACACTAACCTGAAAACAAATTAGAACTGTCAGTAATTACTACTACTGAAAACATGAGAAGCCCAGTGTGTTCCCGTCCCCAATATTAAGAAATTTTTACTTTTCAGTTTCATATCTCCCACTGAGTACAGAATCAAAGGCCATTAGGCAAAGCCAATATGAATCAATATTACACTTGTGCAAAGATGGATTTATAAGACAAATTCTTTGAAACTTCTGTGAGGGATCTGACTAAGAAACTTAGAAACTACAATGCTCTATGAACTCACTACCTATAGAGTAATTTAAAAATGTTTTAAAGCAACCTAGTAGCTTCTCTACAAGCTCTTTAACATTAATCACTCTGCAGTGTCAATTTCTGTGGCAGATGGTTTACCCAGAAAAAGAATTCACATGAAATAATCATGAAAAAATTTCTCATATATTGCCAATCAAGTAATAAAAACAAACTAAATATCTTTAAGAGGATATTAAATCAAACACACTTTGAGGTAAACTGTAAGCTCAAACTATTATCAATTTGGCAGTAAAGAATTAAATAGTTGACTTTTAGGAAAACAAAGTTGTTCAAAGTAAAAACTAAAGGTTGCACAACTATTAAAAATGTAATGAAAGGATCATTTGATTGGTGTACTATTCAGATGCAAAGGCAGATGAGGTACAATTAATGCTGTTTGATCATTTTCTAAATGTTATTTATATTCTGAAAATAAAATCTAGCTGATTGTCATCTCTCACACTTCAACTCCTTCACATATCTGTTCTATTGTAAAAACAGCTAACAAAGTGTTTTTTTAAAGGCTTATAAATAATGTTTAGCATGGAATTGCTTCTTTGATGACCAAAACAGAATACTACTTAACGAAATTACTATTTTTCCCCCCTATGGTTACTTGTCTATAATTCTTAGTGGATAAAGCTCCGGGATCAGACAACATAGAAGTATTTTTACTTAGCATGTTTTTTTTTTTTTTTGAATATAATTATTAGAAATCCTTTCTTAAACAGCACCTTTCTTGAAGCTCAAATAGTTTAACAAAGACTTTTTAAATGCAGTTTACTGAATTTAAGACAAACAATAACTAATTTAAAATATATTAACATTACACAGCTTGGGGACTCAAGACTCAATTATCTCTAAGGTTTGTGGTCAAAGTCTCTAAGGAATCAACCACCCTGGATTATCATAAACATCTATTACTTTTACCATCAGGAAAAAAATTTGGTAAGACTCTGCTACAGATATTTGTTTCAAGATATTGCAAACAATCATTACCCTATTTGTTATATAAATGGCTACCACAATGCCAAATGTATCATTACTGTTTTAATCAATAACGGGAAGTACTATGCTAATAAGCATTGCTTTGCTCAGTACAAATAACATTGAGTAGCTACTGGGTTTACGAAGGAGCTACCTTGGTAACAGAGTAGGTATTTGACACTACTGACAAATAGTAAAGTACAAAAGCACTCTAGAGGCAACTACTAATTGGAATTCTGAAATTTCTTTTCAAATGAGGCAGGTTTTGTGTTTACTGTATGTTCAACATTTTATTTAGAAGAGAAATTACAGAATAAAAGGCCACACATCACTAAAATAGCAATATACCACACACAAAATTCTAAACGGACTTTGGATATCTTTAGTGTTTCACACTATAAGCTATCAAATTTTGCTACTTTCTACTCTATGTGGCAATGCTATACATGCCAAGTTAAAATAATGATTAACAGTTACGGTATAAAGCCCCCTGAATAGAAGAAACCAGAGTCATAAACATGCTACAGCCTACTGTGATACATAGATAAAAAAGATGCATTTTCTTGCCAGTTGAAGCTCACAGTTATGAGAGTTAGAGAAGTCAGTTCAAGTTAAAAAAAAAAAAAACATGCAACATTAATACTCAACTCTATATAGGTCAGTGGCCAAAAAGAGAAATCTAAGTTAATGTGTCAATACTAACAATATTTAGAATCTGTCTAACATAAAGACCTGCACAAGTGGTATGTTTTAGTGAGAAAACTATTTTTTTCATTTTAGAGAAGGGTAATGGTAATAATAATAATAAAACATTCCCCCAAAGCAAGTTTCATCTCTTCAGACCAACAGCAACACAGAATTGAGAATTACAACCTGATCTTCAAGGTACAGTTCTTGTCAGATGCTGTGTAACAGCAAGCCAAGCCCAATCAGTACATCAACTGAAAAAAAATACTCAACTATATTTATAGACAGTGAAGTAAAACAAAACTAAAGAGGAAAAATATTAATATGAAACAAGCTACCGGTAGAAATATAAAGAGTAACATGAAGTGCAATATAAATATCTATTTTAAAGCACAAATTACTATAAAATCAAAAGTAATGACTTAATATCTCAAGTTATTAGGGTCCCACTTCTGTGTAATTAAAAGCTGCTGCTGCAAGCCTCTGTTATAAATGCTATAGAAAAATCTACACAAGATTTCTTCTACCTAGTGGCTTCTAAGGTTACTTTAATCATGAGAAACACAAGCTTTTGTAACAATGTATTCCAACAATCAGTTATGTTTGTTTCCAACTGGCCGATCACACAAATCAGGGTGTAGAAAAGCATGTTTGCTACTGGCTGATTGTTGCAACACAAAAAATGCATACATGAAATAGTTAAACACAGCACACAGTATTACACCAAAGTGTTTTTCTCATTTCAAGTTTATTAAAACTTTTGCAGTACAAATTATCCAGGTTGCAGATTATCAAAAGATCGACTCAATAAAGTCCACATTGGAAAAAAAAAAAAAAGGACAAACATAAACCCAAAACAATGAAAACAACATAAAGGGGATTCATCAGCAAGTCTCTAAAACTTAAAATTTGAGACAGAATGGAAATAAGTTTATATACCTCATTCATCCACTTTTGTCTTCATCTGTTCCAGGGCTTGATTCATGATCAAATTTTTTATTTTTATCATGTGTGTGGTCATTTTCTTGACCCTTTGATTTTTGGTTTTCTTTTTCCACTGAGGATCTGGTCTTCTCATCCTCCTTATTTTTCAAAGTTGAGAACTTTAATTCATTGTCCTGACTACTTTGTTTCATTTTTGAGAATGGACTTTGATCTCTATCAGCCTTTTTTTCCCTGTTACTATTTGAGCTACTATGATCACGATTTTTAGAGTACATTCTCTTCTCACCCTCAGAATTCTCTTTTCTGTGTGAACTTTTACTTTCTTGGTTTCTGTATTTTTCTTTGTTTCTGCTTTGACTTTCTTCTCTCTCTGAGCTCCGTGAATCTCTCCTCCTTCTCCTCCTGTCTTTACTTCTTGATCTTCCTGGCGTTGCTCTTCTGTCTCGGCTCCGTGACCTTCCTCTTCTCCTGTACTCCTGTTCTCTGTATCTGTGATACTCCTTGCTTCTGCTGCGATCTCGGTCATGGCTTCTAGACCGCACTCTTCTGCTCCTGTCCCTACTTCTGCTTCGTTCCCTTGTTCTACTATTGTAACTGTGTTTGCCTTTAGTTACATCGCGTTCTCTACTCCTAGACTGTGCACGTCTGTCCTTGTCCTTACTTTTATTATGATCATGCTCATTGCTTTTGGATTCTAACTGTTTAGACTTCTCTTTACTTCTACTCCTTTCCTGATCTTTTCCTTTAGAATCAGACTTTTCTTTTTCTTTAACATTCTCATGATCCCTTTCTTTACTCCTTGACCTCATCCTCTTTTCTTCATGTCTATTATGCTTTGTATCTCTTTCCTTACTCTTGGATTTCTCTTTGCTCTTACTCCTACTTTTCGATTTGGCCCTTTTCTTTACCTTGTTTTTATATTTATCATCTTTTTCTGAATTTCTTCTGATGTCTCTCTCTTTGCTGTTAGATTTATGATCTTTAACTTTCTTTTCCTTTTCACTTTTTCTGTTTGGACTCTCAGAAACATGCCTATGATCAGTTATTTTTTTCTCTTTTACTCTAACTGGGCTTCTTTGATTTTCTTTTATTTCATTTAACTCACTCCTAAAAAAGGAAGAAAAAAAGTTTTGGGGAAAGTTTATTAGGAAAACAATGGTGTCCATTATTGCTGAAATGATATTCTATTTTCCTTAAGACATTCAGAAACAACTGAAATGGCTTTAAATGAAATAATTTTAAATAGTTAAAAAAAATACTTGTTACTGCATTTGAAATAAGAGTTAAATCTTACTTATCCCCTTTGATCCATCTTTCACCACTTGATACCCTCATTCTTTGAGCTCTCTGCATCTCCTGCCTCCAATGTGGAGGAGTCTCACTACGTCTGAAACGATCCCTGGATCTGGATCTAGAAGGAGTTCGATAACGCTTTAAAAAAAGAGGGGAAAAATTAATATATAAAAATATAAAAGCATTATAACAATTGCTAAAGTGTACATATTTCTAGGTTCAAAAATGTCTGATATTTCCATGCCTTCTAAAATAACTAAATTTCCCAATTGTCAGGTAGGAAATCAATGAGGCATAATGTGGTTTGATATCTTTGCTTTCATTGCTAATGAAATGTGTGTTTATATGTTCTTGTTTTAAATATGTCTTGGGTTTAAGTTCTAAAACAGTAAATATCGATAGCTATATCCCACATCAACAAAAGCTCTTTTGAATCCTCAATCATTTTTAAGAGTGTAAAGAGGTCCGAAGACAAAAAAGTTTGAGAACTGCTATGAGAATAGTTAGGAAGCCCTTTATAGTTCAGAGAATATACAATGGTGAACTGAACTAAGATGGTAGGAGTGGAGCTTGAGAGAAGCAGATACATTTCAGAGTATTTAGGAGGTTGAGGTTGAACAGACAGGATTTGGTGATGGATAAGTTATATAAGGTAGGAAAGTAAAGGGGAGAAACAAAATGATTCTTGGGCTTCAGGTTTAAGTGCTTGCACAGGTGGTAGTGTCTGTCACTGAGACCAGAAATCTAAAGGAGGGTCAGGCCTGAAGAAGTGTTTATGCTTACCATTGTATATGATGAGTTTAAAGTGCCCATTAGGCACCTAAATGGTCATCAAATAAACCTTTGATGCCAGAAAGGCAGATGAAAAACTGACAGTTATCAGCATACAGGTACCCAGTGAAGTTACGAGAGTGATTATATTGCCCAAGAAGCATATGCAAAGTGAGAAGAGTTAGAACCCTGAGGTACTACAATATTTAAACATCAGGTAGAAGAGCATGAACTAGCATTGGAAATTTAAGACAGACTGGCCAGAGACAGGAAGAAAAGATGATGGAAGCAAAGGGAAAAGAGTGTTACAAGGAGGGAGATTAAATAAGACACAGACTGAAAGGATCCAATGGATTCTGTGACTTGGAACTGACCATAAAGCAAGTGCTCTTTTCAGCAGAATGGCAGAAGACAAACTGAAATGGCTGAGGAACAAGTAGGAAGTGAAGAAATAATATACTAAGTATAGCCACGTTGGTTAAAAGTTTTGAAAAAACAAGAAGATATTTAAATTCTGATGAGGAGAATCCAGTGAAGAGAAAGAGTATGAAATATAAGAATAGGGTTAATTTTTAACAAGCATAGGGACACAGTGGTCAGGAAGTAACAAAGGGGTACAAGAAAGACCTCAATCTCATTTTATACCATGTACATGTAAAATCCATTAACATCCCATGGATTTTCAATGTGGAAGAACCAACACAAAGAAGTTACTATAAAAGGAGAACATATAATTCAACATCCGTATCTACTCTAAATTTTAACTACTTATGTATAAAACAATACTTAAGAAACACTCTACGATTATTTAAGATAAATGCAATACTATTAGAACTTCTGGGAAAAGAATCACCTACCCTTGGTCCTCTTCCTTTAATTTTCCTGCCAGACCTAGTAACTAAAAGTCGCCTCTGGTATGAAGCAGGCTGGGAGTTAAGTAGATTACTAGAAGGAAGCAGAGGGAAAATTAAAAAACATTATTTTATAAAAATAAATCTGGAGAACATAGCTTTACTGATCTAAACTAATAAATTTAAAGTCTTACATATATAATCAGTGGTTCTCAACCAGGAATGTTATCAATCCTAGTAGTTATCTGGAAAAGTATGGGAGCATTTTTACAACTGTCAATGACTAGAGGGTGCTATTGGTACCGAGTGACAAGTCAGGAATGCTAAAATCTTGTAATGTGTGTAGATGAAGAACTATCCTGTTCCCAAATGCCAACTGTGTCCTGTTGAGAAACACTGTTATATAATCATCACTAAGATGAAGTCAACCTGATAGTGCTAAGGAACTCAGAGTAGGCTACATGCTGTTGAGAGAACAATTTTAAAGCTATCTGATTCTAAAGTATCTTACTATCCTATAAGCAGTTGTTCACTGGTAATAAAACTATAGAGAAATGTAATTAATGTGAATTAAACAGAGACAAGATGGTCTGAATTAGCAAAATGTTTAATATCATGCTTTATACCAGAAAGGGAAACTATTTATTTTCAAATAATAATGAGTTAATATTTAATTAGCACTAACAATATCTGTGTATGTTATATCTGAAAAATGCATTCTAAAGTAGTTCAAATATCTTCTCCTTAATGTTTACTTCCTTAGACACACAATTTCCTATTAACTGAATAAACTCAATCCAATCCATCAAAATTATCCCAATTCAAGTAACCAAGACTTACTTTTATATTTTTACTGTATTGTGAAAGTATAGGGGGAATGTTCAGAATTTTACCACTTTTAAATACATTATTTCCAATTATAAATAAGAGAAAGATACCCATCTTTTTTTCTATCTTTGGACATAATTATTAAAATGATTCATCAAGAACCAACAACTTCTAATACTAATAATGTGAACTTATATAGAAAAATTTTCAAAGTACTTGAATATGCTGTCAATTTTCAATACCACAATATTGTAAACCAGGCAAGGAAAACAGCATTTTCCCCCATCAGACAAACTGAAAAATAAAGGTTCTTACTTGCTTAAAAGTTTAATGTATACAAATAACAGAGTAAAACACTTGTTTTAAATGGAATTTGTTTGGAATGCCACTTAACAATATCTTTTTGCCATTTGCAGTGCTTGTTTCTTTTTTTTTAATTAATGTAACTTTTATTCAAAAATCTGTCTGAATTAAGTCAATTTATCTTTTCAGCTATGTGGTTAGCAAAAAGGAGCCTTGCTAACATTATCCTATTAAGAAATTTCAATCTTGGGACAAGGTCACCAATTAAACCTTATCTAAAATAAGCAAAAATGGTTTTTTAAAAAAGAAAGGTTCTGGGCTTCCCTGGTGGCACAGTGGTTGAGCGTCCGCCTGCCGATGCAGGGGACGCGGGTTCGTGCCCCGGTCTGGGAAGATCCCACATGCCGCGGAGCGGCTGGGCCCGTGAGCCATGGCCGCTGAGCCTGCGCATCCGGAGCCTGTGCTCTGCAACGGGAGAGGCCACAGCAGTGGGAGGCCCGCGTACCGCAAAAAGAAAAAAAAAAAAAAAAAAAAAGAAAGGTTCTGTGGTAGAGAATGTAGACCAGTTTATAAAATAAACATATTCACATACCACTCTCTCTCTCTCTCCCTGTTCTTCCTTTCTTTTTCATCAGCTTTAGGAGGACTTTTTCTCATTAGGAATCTATTTTCAGGTATTGGAGGGATTTCTTCTGGACGAACAGTAGACTGGGGTTGTGCTTCAAGATTTTCAGCCTCACTTTCACTAGATGCGCTTTAAAAGAAACACACACAACAAATTCCACTTGGTTATTATGTACCTACCCCGATTTTCCAATTGTTGGTATTTCTTTCCTTTGTAATATGTACAATATATGCATCATTCTGTCCCCGATCTCTGACCAAAAATGCAATTACATGGGGAAAATACTCATTCCTCTGACAAACCAACCAAAAACCAAAACCAAATGTTTCTGTTATCACATTCTCAAAAAATATTTTCCAATAAAATGGAACCAAAATATGATACTTCATGTGCAATGCCCTCTGATAAATTTAAAATATTTGAAAATATAGGTAAAGAAACTGCTTTAGAGGCAACAGGTTTATAAAGATGAGTTTTAGTACAACCATAGATTATTTCAGACAAAACAGGAAAGAAAAGAAATATGCTGACATTATCTGCTTTCTACCCTATGCTATCATAGGAGGAAAAAAAATAAAGAACAAAAAAGCGAGAGACTGCTACAGAAAATAAAACAGTCATTGGTTTCCTATAATTCTCACTAATCTTATATTCCTCCCATAAAATACAAACCTATATAACCAAAAGGTCATTGAATTCAGACAAAATGAACTGAATGGTTTGGTTGAAAATTAAAATGAATGTCCCCAAATTTAATCTATAGACTGTAGAATATCAAAATGGTCTTATACTTCATGCTATGAAACATTTCTCACTATTTTCATGTTCCATATAATTGATCCAAAATCCCAATAGATTTATATATAAACAGAAGGGAATTAGAATACAAAGTCATTACTGTAAAAGTAAATTAAGACCTTTTCTTGCTTTTCTTTCGCTTCTTCTTTTCTTTCTTGTGTTTACGAGAATTTTTCCTATGTTTCTTCTTTCTTTTTTTTGATTTCTCTTCAGAAGCACTTTCAGAATCAGAAGAATCAGAAGAGGACTGAGAATCGCTTGAACTATCTGAGTCACTGGATGATGAGGAGGAGGAGGAGGAGGATTTATGCCTTTTCTTTTCTTCTTTCCTAGCTTTAATAAAAAGCAAAACGGTTTGGTGAACACTTTTTAGACAAACTTTGTAAGTGGAAGTTTAGATTTTTTTGCAGATTCTCAAAGTCCAGTATTTAACACTTAGCTCATCCAGCTATTTGACCTGAGGGGTACAGGAAAGGAGTTAAGACTCAAGATTAGAATCCAGATCTCCAGACTCATGGGGCAGAGTTATATTTATATCTAAAGAATTCTGGAAAATAGGTAAATCTAAAACATTAAACTAAGTTAATTTTAGGAATCATATGAATAACATACTTTTTTAAAGGCACAGAAATAACACTCAAGAATCCCAGATTCTAATCTTTTTGTAGTTTTCAACTTTTTCTCTTATCAATATTGGAAGTACAACTGTAGGAGAGAAGTAATAGAAAAAATACTATGCATGAATGTGGAAAGATAAGAAACACGATTCCACTGGCATGGGCTTAGTCAATGCCTGAGTATTCCTCTAATGATTAAGAAATTTAGCTTTGGTTGAACAGCAGACTTACAACAGAGGGTAGTGGTAGTCATTTGCCAATGATTAATAAATATGTTTTGGGGTCTCTACAAAAAGTAATTTCAAATTTAAATTTTATTTTGGGTTAAGGAAGTTTAATTTTAAAAGGGGTCCCAAAACTCAAATGCTTTAAGGATGAGGAAACTAACACAAATAAGTGAGGTTAACCAGGAAATGGAGGAAGATATGACAGACTGGACAGAGCTTCGCCCACCTAACAGTATTCTAATTCCAACCATGGTGGACTTAAAGAAGTGAATTCAACAATCTGATTAAAAAATGGGCAGAGAACCTGAATAAACATTTTTCCAAAGGAGACATACAGATGCCAACAGGCACATGAAAAGATGCTCAACATCACTAATCATCAGAGAAATGCAAATCAAAACAATGAGATAGCACCTCACACCTGTCAGAATGGCTATTATCAAAAAGACAACACATAACAAGCATTGGTGAGGATGTGGAGAAAAGGGACCCCTTGTGCACTGTTTGTGAGAATGTAAATTGATATAGCCAGTATGGGAAGTAGCATGGAGGATCCTCAAGAAGTTAAAATAGCAGTGCCATATGACCCAGCAATTCTATTTCTGGGTATTTATCAAAAAAAAACTAAAACACTAATTCTGAAAGATATATGCAACTCAACCTTCACTGAAGCATTATTTACAATAGCCAAGATATGGAAGCAACCTAAGTGTCCACTGATATGTGAATGGATAAAGAAGATGTAGCGCGCGCGCACACACACACACGCGCGCACACGCAATGGAATATTACTTAGCCATAAAAAAGGAAGGACCTCCTACCCCTTGTGACAACATGGATGGATCTAGAGGGTATTATGCTAAGTGAAATAAGTCAGACAGAAAAAGGCAAATACTGTGTGATTTCAATTATATGTGGAATCTAAAAAACAAAACAAATGAACAAACATAACAAAACAGAAACAGACTCATAGATACAGTGAAGAAACTAGTGGTTGCCGGAGGAGAAGGCGATTAAGGGGGTGGGGAAATAGGTTTATGGGATTAAGAAGTACAAACTTCCAGTTATAAAATAAGTCATGGGGATGTAGTGTAGAGCACAGGGAATATAGTCAATAATATTGTAATATCCCTGTATGGTGACAGAGAATAACTAGACTTATTATAGTGATCATTTTGTAATGTATAAAAATATCAAATCACTGTTGTATACCTGAAATCAATAGGATATTTTCAATCCATTATGCCTTAATTAAAAAAGAAGTAAGTGAATTCAGGCTAAAGCTGGGACAATATTGATATATGGATAACTACAATACAGTGGAACAGAAAATACATTAGAATCCAGATATAGGTAAATAAAATATAAATCATTTATCCTTCTTATCGTATATGAATTGTTCCACTGGCTAACCAAATAGAAGATGAAGGGAAGATGCTCTTTATCAAAAGTACTCCAAGAATAAATGAATAAGGAATTACAGAGTTAGAATATCACCATTTCACAACTCCTAAGGAGGCACTGCCCACCAATGGCCACTGCAGAGCACAGAGACAACCTGTCCTAAGTGACCCTTGCTCCCATCAAATAGAATTTAAAAAAATCAAAACTATATCTGATCAATTTTCTAGATCTAACTACAAAGTTATATGAAATAGAAGCACATTACATAACAGAAGGATGCAATCCGTAAAATTCAGTGTGTGCAATAATGGGAAAGAAACACTACAGGACAAATGACCTAGCTTGTTCAACAAATAAATCTCAAGAAACATAAAAAGAAATGGTGGGATAATCTATTAAAAACAAAAAAAGTTTACAACACCAACCCAAATGTTTGAACCTGATTTGGATTCAAATTCAAACATCAAAAAATTAACATTAACTAAACAATTAGAAATTTGAACACTGTTAAGGATTTCTGACATTTAGGAACATATGTGTATATATGTCTGCATATGATTATGGTACGGTTATTTTTTTCAAAAGAGTCACCTTTTAGAGATAGTGAAATATTTATCAATAAAATGTTATGCCTAGAATTTACTTCAAACAGGAAATGGAGAACTGTCCAAGGACAGGTAACATGAGATTAGCCATAAATTAACTGGTAAAGATGGGTAATGAACATGGTTAATTTGTTATACAATTTCAATCACTTTTGTACATGTTAGTATTTTCCATAATTAAAAAAAAATCAAAGAGAACAAAGACAATATCTTTGGACTGACTGTTGGCTGTTTACAGACCTTAATTGAAAGGGTTAACAGCTGGTTTGTAACCTTTCTGTTAGCTTCAGAACACCTGAGGATTTGGCACTTGGCCAAATTATTCCTGAAACGTATTTACTTATTTATGACTGCATTGGGGCCTTCTCTAGTTGTGGTGAGTGGGGGCTAACTCTTCATTGTGGTGCACAGGCTTCTCATTGTGGTGGCTTCTCTTGTTGTGGAGCACAGGCTCTAGGCGTGCAGGCTTCAGCAGTTGTGGCACACAGGATCAGTAGTTGTGGCACACGGGCTTAGTTCTAAGCTCCACAGTGTGTGGGATCTTCCCGGACCAGGGATCGAGCCAGTGTCCCTCCCCTGCATTGGCAGGAGGATTCCTAACCACTGCATCACCAGGGAAGTCCCTCTTGAAACTCTTAACTCAGAATTTATAGGAGTGTACTGAGTTACAGAGATAAATGAGAATCTGGCTGGAGTTACTGTGTACTTGCCCAAGGGTCTGTGGTTCACTGTTAAGATTATTTCTCTGATACCGAAGAGATGCTGCTGCACTGGAGAATGGGAACAAGGTATAAAAGCTGAAGGAACTCAAGAGGTAATAGCTTCAATGAACTTATTAGGTAGTCTTCGTCACCCAGTCATGCTCCTCAGGACCACGAACCTATTAAGCTGAGATGCCTAGGATATATGCAAGTTCTGCCTAGAACTCATGACATCTCTAATATGACGCTGCTGTTCAAGCTGTGCTGTTTCCTGTCCTATATTCTTTCTTAATGATAAATAAGCTTAGTGCTGAGTGAAGCCTATCTTGTCTCATGAGTCCAATTGTTTATCTGATACCAAAACCACTGTTGATGGTGAGGCAGTAAGGGTATGCAAACTGAAAAACCTACTTGCATACACTAAAAACCTGAGGGGGGAGAATCAAACTTAAAGAAACCTAAGGAAGAAAATAAATTCATAATGCATATGAGTAACTCTAAATACAAATATCTGAGGCCATATAATATGGAGACAAAATAAAAATATTCCACATAAGCACAGAATACAGCTGTTAAAATTACTTGACAAAACATAGTAATGCTCTTCCCCATGATTAACAAAGCTTTATTCACCAGCTCCAATTTATATTTATTTTGCATTGTGATTCTTTCCTGAGAAATACACTGAAGTTGGTTTCGTTAAAAGGCAAGCCCGAGAAGCAAGAAGAACTACAGAGTCCTGCAGCCTGTGCAACGAAAACCACATTCACAGAAAGACAGATAAAATGAAAAGGCAGAGGACTATGTACCAGATGAAGGAACAAGATAAAACCGCAGAAAAACAACTAAATGGAGATAGGCAAAATTCCAGAAAAAGAATTCAGAATAATGACAGTGAAGATGATCTGGGACCTTGGAAAAAGAATGGAAGCAAAGATCGAGAAGATGTAAGAAATGTTTAACAAAGACCTAGAAGAATTAAAGAACAAACACCTAGAAGAATTAAAGAACAAACAAACAGAGATGAACAATACAATAACTGAAATGAAAAATACACTAGAAAGAATCAACAGCAGAATAAATGAGGCAGAAGAATGGATAGGTGACCTAGAAGACACAATGATGGAATTCACTGCCACGGAACAGAATAAAGAAAAAAGAATGAAAAGAAATGAAGACAGCCTAAGAGACCTCTGGGACAACATTAAACACACCAACATTCGCATTACAGGGGTCCCAGAAGGAGAAGAGAGAGAGAAAGGACCAGACAAAATATGTGAAAAGATTATAGTCGAAAACTTCCCTAACATGGGAAAGGAAATAGCCACCCAAGTCCAGGAAGCGCAGTGAGTCCCATACAGAATAAACTCAAGGAGAAACACGCTGAGACACACAGTAATTAAATCGGCAAAAATTAAAGACACAGAAAAATTACTGAAAGCAGCAAGGGAAAAATGACAAATAACACACAAGGAAAGTGCCATAAGGTTAACAGCTGATTTCTCAGCAGAAACTCTACAAGCCAGAAGGGAGTGGCATGATATACTTAAAGTGATGAAAGGGAAGAACCTACAACAAAGATAACTCTACCTGGTAAGGATCTCACTCAGATTCGATGGAGAAATCAAAAGCTTTACAGACAAGCAAAAGCTAAGAGAATTCAGTACCACCAAACCAGCTCTACAACAAATGCCAAAGGAACTTCTCTAAGTGGGAAACACAAGAGAAGAAAAGGACCTACAAAAACAAACCCAAAACAATTAAGAAAATGGTCATAGG